TCCTCCTCCTCCTCCTCCTCCTCCTTCTTCCTGGAAGGTAACCACCAACTTCAGAGAGCCCCAAGGACCCCACAATTCAACCCTGAGTTACAAATATTCTCTTCTATTGAGAAAAAATTATTAACTTTTGCCCATCATCATTGTATCCCACAGAACCTACCCTGGCAGTAAAAACCCCTCTGAGAAACGTTGAAGTTGCACCAGGGAGAGATGCAACCTTCACTGTGGACCTCACCACCCCTAGTCCCGGCTCGTGGTACATCAATGGCAATCTTGTGCAGAACAGTGACAAATACATAATTACGAGAACCAAAGCCAGCCACAGTTTAATCCTTAAGCGGGTCACCAGTGCTTTCAAGGATGCGGAGGTGAAGTTTGTAGCCAAGGATATTGAAAGCATTGGAAGAGTTACCTTGAAAGGTATTTGCAATATATACTTTTTTTTTTTTTCTGACGTGATCTTCAGACCATAGTTTTAGAAGATCTTTAGGGAGCTGAAATTAAACTGTAGTTTCCTAGCTTAAGAAATAATTATGGGAATTATGAGCTTGGGAGATGAAACCAACATATTAGTTTGGCAAGGATAGGATCGGGACATCCGTGGAGAAGATAGAAAGTCAAAATGAGAACCACCACCGTGGGTCTGAATTTCCACTGCCTTTATATATGGGTTGTGCACAGGAATGGCACTTCCGTCATGTAGTTGTGGCTGACCATGGTGATTTTTTTTTTAAAGTTAAAAAAAAGTTTTTTGTTTGCTGGGAAACATGGGGAACGAAAGAGAAGACGACCAGAAAAATCTGAATTTTTCTAAGTTGGCATATGTTTAATGTACCATTTAGGGATGCAGTTTATCCCCTTTGTGCAAATTTGCATCGTGCCATTGGTATAATGAAATTTTGAGACAATGCCATTTGGATGCCTAGTGTGCCTACCTTCCCTGTCCTACTGTCCCCATTTATTTGTATTCATTTATTTCGTTCATGCCCATGTTTATTTTTAAACCTGATATCTTGTACGTGTTTGACAAACTAATAAATACAAAATACAAATACAAAGTCCATTCTCCAATTTCCCCTGAGGTGTGCCATAGGCATCAGGCATTGATTCAACAAGTAGTCCTTGCCTTACGACCACAGTTGAGCTCCAACTTGATGTTGTTAAGCAGGACAGTTGTTAAATGAGTTGTATCTCATTTAATGACCTTTTTGGCCACAGTTAAGCTATCACTTCAGTTGTTAAGTGAATCTAGTTTCTCCCTTTGACTTTGCTTGTTAGAAGATTGCGAAAAGTGACTGCAGGACACTGCAACCATCATAAATATGAATCAGTTGCCATACATCTGAATGTAAATCACACGATCATAGGGATGCTGCAATGTCATTGTAACTTTAAACAGCCACTAAATGAATGGTTGTAAGTGGAGGACTCCTTTTATCTCTATGCTAGGGGTGGCTGGGATTAGACAAAGGAGATGATGACATCATGTATCATAATATCAATGGACAAATGACCTAATTTGCCCTTCCTGTCCTTTTGCCCAACGACATTGTGGCTTGTATCAGATGTCCAGGTCACTGAGTTTCATCCCTTTTTTCTAGATGAAGTGGCCACATTTGTCAATGACTCAGCCCCTGGGATTTCGGTCAACCTTCATGAGAGGTTTGAGCTGGTTTGTGAGGTGTCCTTGGCCACTGATGCGGTCCTGTGGAAAAAGGGGAAGAAGGACATCAAGCCAGATCAAAGGGTGACATTTTCCGTTCAGGGAAAACAGAGAAAACTGATTGTCCAAAACGCCATCAAGGAAGACGAAGGGGTTTATAGCTGCGAATCAAAAGATGACCAACTAACCTTCCAGGTTGAGGTCAAAGGTAAGAAATGGTCCAAATTCTTTCTTTCAAATATGTCTGTACAGGTAGTCCTCGACTTAGTACCATAATTGAGCCCAACCTTGCTGTTGCTAAGCGAGACATTTGTTAAATGAGTTTTGCCCCTTATTATGACCTTTCTTGCTATAGTCGTTAAAATAATCCCTGCAGTTGTTAAAGTAGGCATACATTTGTTAAATAAATGGCTTCCCCACTGACTTAGCTTTCAGAAGGTCACAAAAGGGGACCACGTAACCCCGAGACACTGCAACTGTTATAAATACAAGCCAGTTGCCAGGCGTCTGAATTTTATTCATGTGACCATGGGAATGCTGCAATGGTCGTAAGTGTGAAAAACTCATTAAGTCACCTTTTTAAGCACCGTTTTAACTTCAAATGGTCACTAAACAAATGGTTGTAAGTCAAGGACTACCTGTAATATTAAATGTCATCTGCGTATATTTTCCTAAGCCATTGCATGGAAACAACTGACCATGATGCTATTGTAGTTTTGAATTTTAAGCTCAGCTCTTTGACAACTTTCAAGGCAGTGATGAGATGTTGTGGCAATTGGGTTTTAGGGGCATGTGGATCAAGAGACAATGAACACACTAGTAAATAAAGGGATTTCAAGATTTATTATTAGCTGAAACAACCTGCAGATCTCTATATATTAGTCAAAGCTTCACTCTTCACTGACCAACACCACACAATTTGCAAGAACTGCATTTTCGGGGAGAAAGTCAACAGAGACTTCCAAGAGGGATAAAATCAAGAAAGGAAAATGGATAAGTGAAACCTGGTTTAGTGGTTAATACACAAGGCTAGAAAGCAAGAGACCGTGAATTCAAGTCCCACCTTAGCCATGAAAGCCCGCTGGGTGACTTTGGGCCAATCACCACAAAATGGTGAATTCTAGTCTCACTTTATGGGTGAATGCCAGCGGGGAGACTTTGGGACAATCACCAGGAGACTGTGAGTTCTAGTCCTTTTTTAGACCAGTTGGGTGATTTGAGTCAGTCCCTTTCTCTCAGCCCATCTTACTTCAGAGGGCTGTTGTTGTGTAAAAAATAGGAGGAGGAAGGTGTGTTGGATACATTTGCTGCTATGAATTATTTGTAAAAAGAATAAAGGCAGAATACAAATGAATGAATGAATGAATGAATGAATGAATGAAGGTACATACAAACATACATTCATACATGCATTCATACATGCATTCATACATACATACATACATACATACATACATACATACATACATACATACATACATACATACAGCTGTCTTGATTGAAACACTCAAGTGATTGATCTCCTTCGTGAGCAGAAGGTTGGACTGGAAGAAATCCAGGGTCTCCTCCAAATCTGTTTTCTGTTATTCCTTACTCCAGAGCCTGCAGAGGTCTTTTTTGACAAGGAGAAAGTCCAGAAAGAAATCAGAGCTATTCTTTCCGAAAACGCCTTTCTCAGCTGTGAAATAGCCCAGCCTGCGATGGAAGTGAGATGGTTCAAGGATGGGAAACTCATCATCCCAAGCAAGAAATTCAAGATTGAAACAGAAGGGAAATCTCGCTGGCTGATTATCCGACAAGTTGACAGGAAGGATGGAGGTCAATACACCTGTGAAGCAGATGGCCAGAAACTGGCCTTCAAAGTGATTGTAACAGGTAAAAACCTTGAGTGCATGGGATTGTCTGGTTGCATGAATGATCTCACTTTTATTTTATTTAGCTGTATTTGTGTTTTAATTCTTTTAGTGAGGACTGCTTGTGTGAGAGTTTGAGTATGAGTGATTCGGAGGACCTGGCGGGTTATATGGGGGCCATTGGGGTGGTTGGGGGGGGCCATATCCACGGGAGAGGGTCGGAGCATTGCGGTCATAACAGGGAGAGGCAGATATGGCGGGGACTTTAGGGCAGGCCATCATTGGGGAAGGAGGGTTCGCTATATTACAGAGATCCCTCCTTCCGGCCCTAGGAGTCCCACTCCAAGGTCAGATGGTGCGAGTAATCAGGACCCTGGTCCTCCG